AACCATGTCAGTACCATTTGGTGCCCACTGCTGCCAAAGAAAATTGCTCTATTTCTTTCTCAGTTCAGTGTCTTTATTTAATACTTGCTTGTCAACGCTGATAGGATTCTATGACCCTAATGCCTGTCTGCTAGCTTAAGAGTGACACTTCCCATTTCTATAAATCCTTTGACAGTAATAGAAATGACAACCTTTTATGGTTTCCACTTAAATGATTCCTCCTGTCTTGGAGATGTGCATCTTTAAGCAGTTAAAAAAACAAGGTAAATTTATTTCTCCTGTGTGTTAGGACATAAGACTGTGACATTGCATTGCTGGTTTTGCCCAGCTGTTTGACACATGTAAAATAGCATTTTTGTTTTTATTAGCATATATGAATGAGCTTCATTGTGGCATTTTCTTCTTGGTGTTGTGGCACACACCTTTAATCCCAGCACTTGGGAGGCAGAGGCAGGCAGATCTCTGTGATTTCGAGGCCAGCCTGGTCTACATAGTAAGTTCCAGGCCAGCTGGGGCTATAAGAAGACCCTATCTCAAAAAGACCAAAAAATTATTTTACTTATTTTTAATTAAGCTTCTGCATATGTGCCTGCATGTGGTATGTGCATGTGAGTGCAGGTCCCATGGAGGCCAGAAAAGAGCATCAGATCCCCTGGAGCTGGAGTGACAGGCAGCTATGAACAGCTGGACATGGGTGCTAGGAACTGAACTCCAGTCCTCTGGAAGAGCAGGAAGTGCTCTTAACTGCTAAGCCACCTCTTCAGCTCTTCATTATGGCATTTTCATATAAAGTATTTTGGTTATATTCAGTTCCTCATTACCCTTCCTTGCCCCCCACCCCTTTAATTTCTACTTATCTCTTTCCTCTTTCCAACTTGCCCTCCCTTCTACTGTCCAGCCTTTTTGTTTGGATGATCCATGATGAGTTTCACTGGGGTTGCTTACAGGAACATGGGCATGGCATTATTTACAGGAGCATGGACATCTTACCAGTGGTTACACCACTGAACAAAATGTCTCCCCCAGCCCCATTAGCAGTTATCTGCCAATAACCCCTCTTGGAGAGGTGAGAATAACTCTTTTTCTCCTACATAAGCTTTTTTCCTGGCAGCAGCTGGGCCTGCCTGCATTCTGTGTGGATGTCACGAAACCCCAGGCATTCAACAGTAATAACTCTGGAGTCACATTTCTTTTCAATGGATTCATCTCCTGAAATTCATCTTTCTAATTTCTGCTGCTCTGAATCCCAGCAGAGTTATGATGAGCTTAAGTGTTCATCAATTAATGTCAAAACTCAATGTAACACCTTCAAAATGGCCTTTGACAACCACTAGAATACGAAATGAATTTGCTAATGATCAGTTCCTGAGCAGAAAGAGTCTCAGGGATTTGTGACGATGCGACATTTAGGTTCAATTCATAAAATATGCATTGGTTTCTAAAATGAGAACTTAAAAAATATTGAGCACAGAGGAAAATGAGGGCACAAAGAACTGTCACATGACACAAGAACCCTGAATTTCTTATTCTTAAAGTTACAGCTTTTGAACTTCTTTTGGAGAAAACAGTTTTGGTACTTGGAGAGAAAATTCAGGGGCCCTTCTGAGATCTCAGCTCTCTTTGAAGTTGTATTTTTTAGTGTTTATTTTACTGTTTATGAAAGAAAACATGGGCATTTCCATTAGTCATAAGTGCCTCAGAACAGACCTAAATTGGTCATTTTAGTGGAAGGAGCTTATTTTCTACTTGGTGACAAAACAGCATTGTGTACACATTAATGTCTTGTGCTTGATGGCTGCTTTCATTACACCTACATTTCTAACTGACAGGGCCTCACAACTATCAGTTTAGGCCCAACCCACTGATGGGAGATCCCCCTGGCTCCAAGTAGAACTGCATGGCTCTCTGTCCTCTGTACAGGGAAGTATACAATTCTGTGTGTGTTCATGTGTGTATGCATGCACATGTGTGTATATGCATTTGAAGGCCTGAGGTCAAACTTCAGAGTCATTCTTCATTCATCATTCACCTTGTTTTCTTCTGTCAACAGTTTTTATTAGCATGTATTATTAATTAGAATATATTAATTATACATAATAATGCATTTCATTATGACAGTTTTGTAAGTGTATGTAGTGTATTAAGTTGATATTCACTTACCTCACATTCCACCTTGTTTTAAAAAATTCTTTACTTTTATTGTGTGTATATGAGTGAGTGTACATGGAATTTTGCCTGCATGTATGTGAACTCAAGCTCCACCTCTGCAAGAACAGCCTTCTTAAGTGCTGAGCCATCTCTTCAGCCCTATCCACCTTGCTTTTTGAGACAGCATCTCTCATTGGCCTGGAATTCTCCAAGTATGTTAGCCTGACTAACCAGCAAACCCTAGTGATCTGGTTTTCACTTTCCCAGTGCTGGGATTACAAGTGCTCACATTAGATGATTTAGATCAAAATAATGTCCTCACACATGCATAGCAAGCATTTTACTGACTGATCTATCTACCCAATGTGCTGTACTAAGTTCACTAAGCTCTGACCTCTTTGCAGTTAACGCACCATGGACTCTGATTCTAGATGTTATGATTAGCATCAGCTCTTTCTATGATGCACAATGTGCTGTCTGTCTGGAATGTCCTTTACTTTGCTGTCTTCCTTGAAAAGACTCCCCGTCTTGGGCAAATCTGGCTCTTTTCTCTCAGTGGTTTTGTTTGTAGCATTTATTCCTCTCTGTTATTTCCATATCTGACTTTACATTACTTTATCTTCAGTACCTAGAAAGTAAATTAGTGCAGAGCAAGAACTTAGTCTGTGCTTACTAATAAGTGAGAAGTGAGTGAATCCAAGAATGATTGGATGACGTGATCCATTGCTTCCCCACTCCCCACTTTATTCCTGGCCTCATGAAGACAATTTGGGTTCTCAAGGAGATAATAGAAATTCACAGAGTCTTATGGCATAAACAGCACTTAGAGTTTCACAGATTACTTCATGTCTCCAAATACCAGTAAACTGTACCAACCATGCCAGTTACAGCCAGGTCATGTGCTAAGTTTGGTGGTTGCTATCCAATTTGATTTTGGTTTAATTTGAAGACTTTCTGCTCTTATTTCCCCTTTCTTGTAACAAAGGCTTAAAAATGCCTCTACTGGGCTGTTCAGACAGTTCAGCTTGCAAAGGTACTTGGTGCCAGGAGAGGTCAACTACACAAATTGCACTCTGGTCTCCACATATGCACCATGGCACACAGGTACACCCCCTCCCCCAAATGTAATAAAAATGCCTCTACTTACAAAAAATTGAGCAACAGCTAGGTTCTCTAATTTCCCAGAGTGTCACATGGAATATAGCACCACATGTTGCTTCTGAGTAAGGGTCTCCACGGGCAGCTGACTTTGTGAGTCATGCTCTATTATACCAGCCTATGTCAGTTAAGGTCTCCCAGGAAGCAGGTGCCAAAAAGAGATTTATTAAGGAAACACTGAAGAATACTGAGGATGAAGAGGGTGCAAGCAGGAAGGGAGGTGGGAAAGGAGGAGGAATGAATAGGAAGAATATCAGGCTACAGGGCTGTGTTAAGAAAGCGCTGTCCAAAATCAGAGTCCTAGGGGTGAAGACACCATTAAAGGAGTCCTATGTCCCATAGCAGCAGGCTAGTACCCACAAAATATGGTGCTGCCAATAGCATGACCTCAGTACACACCCATTGGTGGGCCCAGGGGTGGTGGCTGCTCTCAGTCAACTGTGCTTCCTGCAGCAGGAGACCTGGGAGGTACATGTTTCTGCCTGGTACACAGACTAGAGGTGCTTTGTATATGTCATTTCATCTAATCTACATGTTGTACCTATGAAACGGATCAGTTGTCTTATTATCTCTGCCTTAGAAAGCATACAGAGGTTAAGGAAGTTACGTAAGATCCCAGATCTGATAAGTGAAAGGTCTGGGATTTGAATCCGATCCATCCACTCCAGAGAGTGAGAGTTTAATGACCTCATTACATTACCCTATAGTGTCTTGGGAGCATTACAATGCTTCTTTCCCATGCCTTACCCAACCCAGTGGCTAGATCAGCTTCTATTTAAAATTACTGATCTTATAGCACACACACAGCAGATTTCATTGACATTGTCATACACATATGCCATCATGTCCTGCTTCCGTTCTCCACAGCTTCCCCACATCCCTTCTCTCCCTCACTGGTTCCCTCCCTCACCCCAAATACTACACCTTCTGAGATTATGTCACACACACATACGTTATTAAAATAGGTTATACATAGTTAAATCTGAATGCTGTATATGAGAGAAAATGTGATATTTTGTCTTTCTCCCTTACCAACCTCTCTTTTTCCCCTCTCTGCTCCTTTTAAACCTCTTCCTCTCCCCTTATAGCTTCCCTTCTAGTTCTGTGTCACACACACACACACACACACACACACACACACACACACTCACACACTCAGTGATGTTTGTGTTTTTGACTCTGTCTTATTTCATTTAGCATGACAATCTCCATTTGTATCCATTTTCCTGAAAGTGACATAATTTCATTTCAGGCCTGAATACATTTTCATTGATATATGTACTTCACTTAGAAATATTTATTTTTAATTATTTATATGTGTGTATTGACTATTGATATGTGCATATGAATACAGGTATCAGAAGAAGCCAGAATAGGGCATCAAATTGTGGCAACCACAGGACCCCTTGGAACTAGAGATATGGGTGGTTATGAACAGCCTTATATGGGACTTCTTACTTCAGGGCTTCTGCGAGGATGGTACATGCTTTTAGTCTTTCCAGCTCCTATCTTGTCTTTTAATCCATTCATCTTCTTGGGCTTCCAGGCTGATTCTATGTCTTGGCTACTGTGACTAGTGCAGCAGTAAACATGGATACTTAAGTATTTCTGTGATAATGGGACTCAGATTCCCTCAAGTATCTATTCAGAAATGATACAGCTTTATTAGCTTCTTATTTTTTTCTTATCCCCTGAGGGGGTGCATCATTCCTGGAGGTACTGCAATACCAGGTTGATACATGGAGTGGATGGAGCAAGCTCCTATTCTGACTCCTAGTTACAAAATTCCGTTTAACATATTGTCCTCCGGTAGAGGATGTATTAGATATTAAACTGATAAGAACAGACACTACACTTAATCTTAGCCAAAAGGCTGAGAAGCGATTCAGCTTCTTATTTTATAACATACATAGTTGTGAACAAGCGTCAAGAAGTATTGCAGGGAGGTGGTTAGCCTTTACCTTAATAAGAAAAGCAAGAGGGAAGTAGAATAAGCCTCCCACGCTCCTATGTTTTCCAAAAGATACTTGACATCTACTCTGGCCTCCACATATACTCTTGCTCAAGCATTCCTTGTCTTAGCAATAAAGATAGCCTTTTCCTTGTTGGGTAAAGGAGGGCATTTCTCACATGAGGGTCTGATGACAAGCTTCAGGCAATAGAAGGTCAGAGAATCCTTTACACACATGCTAATTCTCAAATCCTTCCTCTTCAAATATTCAATATGCCAAGGTTCGTATCTGGGGGTACATGTCCCAAACCTTGTCAGTACTGCATTACCTGGTTTATCCAGTCAAGAGTGGATTTAATTTTCATCCCCGCTTTTCCATCAGTACTTCTCCTTGTCCTTTATATTTGATGATCAGCCTTTTGTTTGCCTAATGCACTTTATTCTCATATTCAGGAGGAAGGTGATATTTGCTCGTCTTCTTGCTCTATAATGTTATGGGCTGTTTGGTTTTTACTGTTTTCAAAATGGCATCGGGATTTATGGCATGATTCTCCTGGCTCAGTGAACCTTGTGTGTCCTGTTACTGGCAGTGCTCCATTGCCTGCAGTTTTGGAGGGAGCCAAGTCATGAGAATAATGGCAATAATGATTGCCTGGATATTCTAAGATAATCTACTAGATGTGAGGAGTTCTTCTTCTCTGAAGCCTTCTGTCTTAGTTACTTTCTCATTGATGTTACAAAATACCCTGAGAAAAGCAACCTAAGGGATGAAGGGTTTATTTTGGTTTATAGTTCTAGAGGAGTAGCTAGAGCTCCACTTTCCAAAGTTTCTGCAACCTTCCAAGCAGTGCCACCAGCTAGGGACCAAGTGTTCAAACAGGCGAGCCAATGGGACATTTCACATTCAAATCACAACACCTTTAGAAGGGAAGCATTCAGTGTGAAGCATACAGTGGGATAGATTCACTAGTGTGATTACTGAGGATGAATGTCCCATTGTTTCCATAGGCTTCCTTATTATTGGAACTTTGCAATTACATTTGTTCTTGGCTACAAGCTTGCCAATGTGGTTGAACGCTTGGTCTCCAGCTGTTGGCTGTTTTGGGAAGCTGTAGAACTGTTGGGAGATTGTGGCCAGCTGGAGGAAGTGGGCCTCGAGGGTTATAGCCAAGCCTTATTTTGTCCCCAGGAACTTCTGTTTCTTGGTCCATGGAAATGTGAGGAAGCAGCTCCACACTCCCACTGCCATATCATGATGGGCTATATATTGTCAGCTAAGATAAACCCTTCCTTTCTTACATTGCTTCTTGTGTATTTGGTCACAACAGTGAGAAAACTAATATGCCAGTTACTAGCTGCTCTGACAGGATTAATCTCTTTAAGCCTCAGTTTACCCCTTTTCTCTTTGGGAGTAAAGAAAGACCTTACCTTGGTCTCTGCCTCACTGCAGTGCTCTTACTCCCACAAGTTGCCTGATGGAAAACTTTGAGGCCTCAAAGAATACTTTGTCAGGGAGGGTTCCCCTTCTGTCTCTTCCTGTTTTATTCTTTCGGATCTTCTTAACATTTTTAAAGAGTCCTGCTGTTTCACAGTTGGCAATGACATCATATGAGTTTGTTTATTCACTATCAACCTCCCCTGCTAGGATGTAGAGTCCCTGAGGGTGTAGGTGGTGTGGGCTCTTAACACTTTGTGCTTAGCATCTCACACTGTGCCAAACAAGTCATCACTGTTCAATAACCATTTGTTCAACAAATGAGCTATTTAAAACACTACCCCAAACAGGGATGCACTTTATAAATGATAGTTGCCATTACTTCTGCACCCAAAGGAAGAAATCAAGACATTTAAAAGCTGTAGATTGAACACAGTTTCTTTTGGAGATTCAGATAAACTAGGAATATCATTTAGCATCTTCTTGTTCTATGTCTGGGTATTGTCTATTTCTTACTACCTACCTGAAGCTCCATGACACCACAGAAGGCTCTAAGATGCTTAGTAATTTCAGGCCCCAAGTATTTGACCGCTTTGTCTCAAATTGGTGGCGCTGTTTTAAGAGGCATGGTCATGCTGGAGAAAGCTCGTCACTGGAGGTCGGCTATAGCCTTGCCTACTTCCTGTTTCTCTCTCTGCTTCCTGTGCCTGCTTGAAGGTGAGTGTTCAGCCTTCTGCTCTGGCCTCCTCCTGCCATACCTTCCCTGCTTTGCTGGACTTTTATCCCTCTGGAACCATAAGCCAAATAAACTCATCCTTCTATAAATAGCCAGGGTCATAGTGTTTTATCGCAGCAACAAGAAAGTAACTGATACAGTAATAGTCTGCCTGTCTCAGTTTTTCATCATATATCCAGTATACTGGGTACTGGGTATCTTTTTATTTCCCTTGGTATGTGTGATGTATGTATATGATGTGTGGGTATATATGCCTACATGTGTGGAGGCCAGAGAAGGGTGTCAGATGTCCTGCTTCATAACTCTCTGCTTTATTCCCTTGAGACAGGGTCTCTCGCTGAACATGGGGGTAGGGTGACAGAAAGCAAGCCTCAGTGATCCTCCTGTCTCTGCCCCCAACAGCAACAGGATTACAGGCACACATCACCATGCCCAGCTTTACACATGGGTTCAAGGCACTTGAATTTAGGTCCTCATACTTGTACAGCGAGCCCTCTTACCAAATGAGCTATTTCCTCAGCCCCACAATGGGCATCTTGTGTGTTGATGGTGATAGACTGATCATCAAACTAATTTAGACCAAAAACTGAAAAGACAAATGAAATTTCTTGAGTGAAATTTGAAAGTTCTGTGCCAGCATGCTGTTCATTCTGTAAATGCTACTTGGGGAAAAGAAACAAGAAACAATTTCCTAAATATGTCTGCATCTTCTTCTCTTGCATCACATTCGTGTTTATCCTGCAATGATACAGGCCATATGCTAGACATGGAAACACTAGGAGTCTTTTGTTCCTTGTGATCATCATTTCGAGAGTCAGTTCACGCAAACCAAGGATCCTAACCTTATTTTCCTCTCTAAGGCAAAGCATAGTATTCTAGAGGAGACAATAAAATGGGGTGTTTGGGGGATACAGAGATGACTCAGTGGTCAAGAGCACTAGCTGTTTCTGGAGATGACCCAACTTAAGTTCCCAGCACCCACAAGACAGATAACACATGTCTGTAAGTGTAGTTCCAAGGAGGGATCCAAAGCCCTCTTCTGGTTTCCTACTGCATTGAATGACACAGGTACACTTGCAGATAAGATGTTTATATACAAAAAATAAAAATAAATTTAAAATGAAAATTGGTTTTTTATTTCTTCTAAAATCAAATTTGGTTTTCTCAAAGGTAAAATTTAATTTGAAGCCTAAGTCTCTTTTCTGGCCTCACACTGGAATCTTCTGAAGCCCAGTCACTTCTCCCTACATCGATATGAGCATACTGGTTCCATTAATGTTGGTTGGAACTCCAATTACACCATAGCTCAGATAGGTGGGTGGAGGCTCTGAATCACAACTCAAAGGCTTCACTCTCCTGTTGGCAGAATACAGGGAAAACCTCTGAATCTCTAAGGTCTTCAAAGGCCTTCCTTAACGGTGCTTTCTGCTGATTTGTCTACTCAATGTGAAGCTTTCCAATCCACTGTGTTCAAGGTGCTCCACTTTAGAACAGAAAAGAGTGAACAGAGGTCATCAGTTCCAACTCCCTCATTTTGTCCTGTGGATGGTGTAGTTCAGAGGGATTAACACCCTCCCAGAGTCACCTACTTGCCAATTCCCGACAGGACTGGAACAGCAGTGTAGAATATGCTCTCTGTTAGTTCTTTGTTGCTGTAGCAGATACCATGGACCCAGTAATTAAAACCAACTGTATGTATATCTTACAGTTCCAGAAGAGACTGGGAAGTTTCAGTGCTGGTGCTGGCATCTGGGGAGCCGCTCTTGCTGCTCCATGTTGTGGAATGTTGCCCTCTGAGTGTAGTTACAGAGTTGGAGACCACTGGGAAAAGACCGCTGAACCCAATTCAGATTTTAATCAGCCAAATTTATTGCTGCAGCAAGACCGACAGTCTCTAGAGGCAGGATAAGGGACTGCAGTGAAGCTGTGGGGAAAGAGGGTATTTTAAAGACAAAAACCACAAGCTGGTTCATTCCTGTGGTATTGGCAGTTGCAAGGACAGTGGGCTCATAATGACCCTTAAATGCAACAATATGCAAGTTTACGGAAGCCAAAAGAAGCAGTTGTTAGTCATTTTCTTAACAGATGTATAGAGACCTTGACAGTAAGGAGGTTTCTGATTATTATTTCAATATATTACCAAGAAAGACAAGATATTGTTTAGGTTATTTTCCCTTGGGTGGGCAAGAAACATAGATGCAATGTCTGGGTGGTCATATTCCTTTCTTTGGTAAGCTATTTTTTAAAAGGAAAACAAACTTCTGGAGGGAATTGACTTACTGGAACTAAGTTCAGACTTTGTGCTGGCTGCTTCTCTGATTTTTAAAGTCTAAGGTAGCTACTTCGTACACAGTGGAGTTGCTCTAATCATTACAGTGTAACAGTCATTAGCATCTTAATCACAGTGGCTGACTACCCACAAGAGATCTTCAATAAGATTGAGGCTATTTGCGTTCCCTCATAGAAGAAAGTGATAGCAGGGAAATCACGGCCCCTGCTTGAGGGTCTAAGTCTAATTCATAAAAGAATTTAAGAATAGACTCAAGTGGAATCTTTAGGGCAATTTAAGAAAAAATCCTCAGGGCAAGCAAGCTATAAATTTTAGCAGCCGCCTTAAGGAAGAGAATGGGGGGTGGGCGGGACAGGCATAAAGCCATGCTGGTTTAGAGCTGGCATGGAGGTCAGACATGTGGTAGACTAGCAACCACAAGGTGTGAGGGGGAAGGGAGGTTTAGAGAAAAAATAAAAAACCCCAAAATGCTG